ATTTTCCATTGCAAAGTCTCACACAGACACTCACACAAGCACTCACACGGGCGTGCTTCGGGGTTTTCCGCTCGCGGACTAGCAGTGGTGTAGTGGACAGGTGCCTTCCGCAAAGTGTTTGGGGTTTGGGCGGGACCTCTAAGTCGTGTTGTCGCTCTGTCTCTCTCGCACTCATTGACAGCAGACAGAGAGACAGACAGACAGAAGAGACAGACTGACAGACAGGTACAGAGACAGAGAGAGAGAGAGAGAGAGAGAGAGAGAGAGAGAGAGAGAGAGAGAGAGAGAGAGAGAGAGAGAGACGCTGGCGCCGCGCCGTTCACGTTCAAGTCCGCGTGCGGCGCAAGCGGCCGCAAGTTCACGTTCAAGACCAAGGAGCGCACCGCGCAGCACCGCGCGTTCCACGTGACGACACCATTGTCCGCGGCCAAAGGCGCACAGTGGGCCAGAAGGCCGGTGGAGGCGGCCAAAACTCTAGACGGGTTTTGGGCCCCAGAGTCGCTGAATGGGACTCGAACCGAACGTGTGACCCCACCAATGGATTGCTCTCCGAACGAGGAATCCATTGGTGGGGTCACACGCTCGGTTCGAGTCCCATTTGGAGCTCAAAACGCGTCTAGAGTTTTGGCCGCCTCCACCGGTCTTCCGGCCCACTGTGCGGCGCCAAAGGCACAAAAGGCCGGGGCGCGACGTGACGGCGCGCCAAATACGCCGCCAGCAGACCGATTCGCTCTGTCTCTCTCGCACCCATAGGAACGCCCCGTGAGCGCGAGAGAGACAGGGCGACGAAAACGTCTCTCGGAATGAGTGTGCAGAGCCAAGCCCGCCGCCAAGCAGCCACGCACTGTACACCGGAAAAAGAAGGAGGCTCACGGAGTTTCTGAGAGCACTGGCATCATTTTGACGGAATGCTCGCAACACGTTCCGAACGTGAATCCGTGTTCTTTGTCGTCGTTTTTCGGACAGTGCACTGGCGGAAGGATGACTCGCCGAAGGGAATGCCCAGTGACGGTGTCGGGCTGCTGGGTGCGGAGGCGTCCTAAGTGGCACACACACACACACACAGACAGACAGACAGACAGACAGACAGACAGACGCAAGTCTTCCTACATGCGCACACCTACACCCCTGGCGGGGTACAAAACCATCCTCGGCAAAGTTGGGTCCCGAGGCGCGAAACAGGAGTGCGTGGGAAAGGCGGCCCCCAGGTGGACTGCGCCACTGCATGTGCTTCCGATTCACCAATATAGTGTAGTGGTGTAAAATAAAAAAAGTGCATTTTTAAAAAAAAAATGAAAGAATGATGCAGACGGTCCCCGCTGCTCTTGAATACGTCTGTAGGATTATCACCTTGTGTCGCTCTCTATCTGTATTATCTCTCTCGCTCTCGCTGCGACCGCACGCCTGCACGCAAATTCGCACCGAAAGGCAGCAGCAACAACAACAACAACAACAACAACAACAACATGAAGGGGACAAAAGGAATGTGCGGGTGGGTTTGTCCGCGTTTGTCCCTCCTGACGGCCCCTTCCCATTTTCGACAGAGTACAGTGGGCCCTTGCCTGGCCTCACAGGCCTGGCCTATCCGACGGGCGGGCCGACGGGACAGTGAACCTTGCCCCGTCCATCCCAGAAAGACTTCTCAGGAATTCCCGGTTACAGGCCTTACAGGCTTACAGTGTGGCGAGAGGCGGCAACGCTGCGTCCTCGCGCCTTTGCCCGCCGCACAGTGGGCCAGAAGACGGGTGGAGGCGGCCAAAATCTCCGACGCGTTTTGTGCTTCAAAGTTGCTAAATGGGGCTCGAACCGAACGTGTGACCCCACCAATGGATTGCTCTCCGAACGAGGATTCCACTGGTGGGGTCACCCGTTCGGTTCGAGTCCCATTTAGCGACTCTGGAGCTCAGAACGCGTCTAGAGTTTTGGCCACCGGCAACCAATTCGAGGATGCAGTGCAGCAGATGCAGGTGCAGTGGAGGGCGTACCGCCAGGCGTTCCGAGGCGTTCCCCCACCCCGCCTTCCTCACCACAGTGTGCAGCACATCGGCATCCCTTTGGCTGGGCCGAGGGCCGACACTCCGACGCACGGTTGGCAAGAAAATGAAGCTGCACCGGTCCTTTCCACCCACCTGTGCCCTCCCCCCCCCCTCCTCGTTCCCAGGGGTCTCCCAAAAGGGCTTTGCCCTCCGACCCCTGCACCCCATCCCACCCCCACCCCCACCGCAATCCGTGCGAAGATGCTACCGACCCTCCCTCGCCTGCCATCATTTACCTTTTTGCAACACCTCCTATTTCTGTGTGCATTCCCTCCCGCCCGCCTACCTGGCCAGGCCACTGGCAAGACCTGGCGGCTGCAGCGCGCTGCTCACTGCGGGCACACTGCGGGCGGCCACCCTTTCGGGGCAGATGTTGCACCCTTTTTTTTTTTGCTCCCCATCTTCAATTTTGGAGGCAAAAAAAATTGAGTTCGGAGGGGAAAAAAGAGGTTGCTTCCGCTCACGGCCTTGCACCTTTCTGTTCTGCAAATAAATGATTCCTCCCGGATCGCGCGCGAAGATGGGAGCGCCGCCCGTCACCTAAACAAATGAGGACGATTGAAAGAGGAAATGAAACTTAGTGAAAAACAGTGTGAACCCCACCCCCACCACGGCACGGAGGGCCAGAAGACCTGTGCTAGACGCGTTTTGAGCTCCATATTCGCTAAATGGGACTCGAACCGAACCTGTGGCCCCACCTATGGACTGCTCTCCGAACGAGGAATCCATTGGTGGGGTCACACGTTCGGTTCGAGTCCCATTTAGCGACTCTGGAGCTCAAAACGCGCCCGGGATTTCGAACGCCTCCACCGGTCTTCTGGCCCACTGTGCGTTCGAGCCCCATTCGGAACGCCGGCACGGGAAGTGGCGCCGGAACAGCGGCACACCGGAAGGCGGATTTGGAGCGCGGTCTGCTGGCACTGTACACTGGGAGTCGTTCTCGTCGCTCTGTCTCTCTCGCACTCATGGGGCCTCCCGTATAGGTGCGAGGGAGACAGAGCGATCAGTCTGGTGGCGTTGCCTGGCGTTGCCATGGCGACAGGCGCACCGCGACCCGCACGGCCCGCATAATCGCGCGGCATGCATCGCGGTCGCGCGGTCGCCATGGTTACCGATGCGTGGCAACGGTTGCTGTTGTTGATGTTGTTGTTGGTCCAGAGGGTCTTCCGGGGTGATGCCAACGGGCCTGTTGCTCTTTGTTGCTGTTGTTTTTCGAGAACGGAGGGACTTCCCCTTGCGGTGGTCGGGTGTCCGCTGTAGGACTCTAGCGACCGCTGGCCCACAGTGGGCCCAAAACTCTAGACGCGTTTTGAGCTGCAGAGTCGCTAAACAGACCTCGAACCGAACGTGTGACCCCACCAATGGATTCCTCGTTCGGAGGGCAATTCGTTGGTGGGGTCACACGTTCGGTTCGAGTCACTTAGCAACTCTAGAGCTCAAAACGCGTCTAGAGTTTTGACCGCCTCCACCCGTCTTCTGGCCCACTGTGTGGCCCCGCCCACCGCGGCGTCTCGTTCGCTCTGCTCGTCTCGCCCCTTCCGCCGCTGGCGGGATTCGAACCCGCCCCCGTACCCTCATTTTCCGAAATGGCCGTGGCGTGCCGCGCCCCCCGTCACTCGGCGGGTCGCGTGGGCGTCGCGAAGCCGCGCGGGCCGGCCGGTCATTCGGGGCGAAGCGGGGCGCAGCGAGTGGGACGGATCGGATCGGCCCAGATCCGTCACCGCGACCCGTCGCGTCGCACATCCGTCAGTGGGCCAGCAGACCGGCGGCAGCGGCCAAAACTCAAGACGCGTTTTGAGCTCCAGAGCCGCTAAATGGGACTCGAACAGAACGTGTGACCCCACCACTGGATTGCTCTCCGAACGAGGAATCCATTGGTGGGGTCACATAGTCGGTTCGAGTGGTTCGAGTCCTAGCGCCCGAAAGGCATCTGCCGCCTCCACCGGTCTTCTGGCCCACTGTGCGTCGCAGGAGTGCCCGGAATAAACGTCGCTGTGAGCGTGAACTAACGTCCCCCTTTGCTTCTGTGTTGCAGGACGCCGCGAAGATGGCTCCCGTCGCTGGTTCGGCTCGTCGCCGCCGCCGCGGTCCTCCAGCCCGTCGCCGCCGCGGAGGTTCACGTCGTCCATCCTGGGCGGCGACGTGCCGTACGGCGCGAGCAGCGCGAGGCACGTCCTCACGCGGGCGGAGCGCAAGGAGTACCCGCCCGAAGTGACGTCGGCGACGTCGGCCCCCGCCAGGGTGTCCGTCATCCAGCGGACGCCGGCACCCAAAGCCGACGACCCCCAGGCGTCGCCGGCCACGCCCGAGTCCAGCACGGACGCGGCCGCCGCGCCACGGACGCGCTCCCCTGACTGCGACCGCGCGACGCCGTCCAAGCCCGCCACGCCGTCGCTGGCGCCGTCCCCGGCAGCGCCGCCCAGCCGCATCCCGCCCACCCCCAGCCCGCCGCCGCCCCCGGGCCCCGCCCCCGCCAGCGTGGTGCTGCTGCCCGAGCAGGACGCCCCCATCGACTACCACGTGCCGAAGAAGCGGTGCGAGGAGCGGCTGGAGCGGGAGAGGCGGCGCCACTGCTCGGCCAGGATCTCCAACGCCATCACCCGCGGCCCGGGCCCGCCGGTCAAGGTGGGCCCGCCACACCCCGGCCACCCCGGCCACCCTCACGGCCCGCTGGGGCTGCTGGCGCCCATGGCGGGGCTGGCCGGCCTCAGCCTGCAGGGCCTGCAGGGGCTGCCCCCGCTGCTGCTGGCGGCCCGGCACCCCGCCATCCTCCAGGCCGCTGCCGGCCACGGCCATGGACGCTCGGCGGCGGGCGGCGGCAGCGGCACTTCCGGCGGCTCCAGCGGCAGCGGTTCCGGAAGCGGTTCGCACGGCTCCTTCAACGGCGGTGCCGGCGGCGCGGGCCTCGGCGGCGGCTCCGGCGGCGGCGCCCTCGGCTCCGGCGGCGGCTCCGGAGGCGGCTCCATGAACCCCGGCGGCGGCGCGGGCGGCGGCAGGAGTAACTACGGCCCCAGCTCGCCGCCCACCGGCTGCCTGCCGCCCTTCTACGAGACCCTCAAGGGCGGCGGCATGTCTTCGCTCTCATCCCTCTCCGCCTTCGGCGGCCACCCCTACGGCGGCGGCGTCGGCGCCGGCTACACCATGCTGCCCTCGTCGCACTCCCTGGACTGCGGGACGGACACGGGGCAAGGCCAGGGCCAGGGCGGGGGCGGCATGGGGGGCTACATGGACGGACCGCTGCCCAAGCAGTACTCGCTGCTGCAGAACGTGTGCGCGTCCTACGGCCTCACCGTCAAGGAGGAGGACGACTTCTCCAGCTTCGACATGCTCACCTCCGGCAAGATCGGCGGCCTCCCCCAGGTAAGACCGCCGCGGCCGCCCGGAGGGGCAGTCCCGGTGCACAGTGGTGGAGGCGGCCAAAACTCTAGACGCGTTTTGAGATCAGAGTCGCTAAACAGGACTCGGACCGAGCGTTTGACCCCACCAATGGATTGCTCTCCGAACGAGGAATCCATTGGTGGGGTCACACGTTCGGTTCGAGTCCCATTTAGCGACTCTGGAGCTCCAAACGCGTCCGGGATTTCGGCCGCCCCCACCGGTCTTCTGGCAAATCCACCGTGCGGTGCAGCCCGTGGCGCCGGATGTCGGGGCGACGGGACTGGCGGACGCGTTGAAATATTCAATGGTCGCTGACGGGGACCTCTCTAACCTTGACCCCTGCTTGCAGATCTCCACCCTGACGGGCGGCTTCGTGTCGTCGCAGAGCAACAACTACGACGTCAACGACCAGATGATGGTGGACCTGTCGGGCGGCTCCGTGGTGGACTTGACGGCCACGCTCACCTTCTCGTCGGCGGCGGAGCACAGTGCGCTGCTCGAGTCGCTGAGCGACGCGGCGGACTTGTTCATGACGCGGATGCCCCACGACGACGACCTGGAGGCGCCGGGCACGGTGAGCAGCAGCAGTAGCGGTAGCAACGCCCAGACCGCCGACCTGCTGCACGGGTCGCCGCAGTCCAGCGAGTCCCTGGCGGGCTCCGTGGACCCGTTCCCCGAGCCCGCGCCCTACCCGCGGCCCTACGACACCCCCGTCAACGGCAACGTGAACGGCAACGTGAACGGCAACGGCGTGGGCAGCCAGTACAAGCCCAGCCCGTCCGCCAGCACCACCAGCCCCACCTCCTCCAACGCCTTCATGGGCCACGACGGCTACCAGCTGCACAAGCAGGAGCCCGGCTACCACCTGCACAAGCAGGAGGCCGGCGACCAGCCGCAGCTGCAGCAGCTGCAGGTGCAGGTACACTTGCAGAACCCCAGCAGCAGCAACAACAACAAGTGCTCGCTGCTGTCGCCCGGGCTGTCGTTCGACCTGGACTCGCCCACCACCATGTCGCTGCCCTCGCCCGCGTCCTGCGGCGTGGACGACAACGGCCTGGGGGACTCGGCCGCCTCCATGTCGCCCGGCGGCTCCGTGGCCTCGGGCCGCAGGGACTCGTCGCACAACGACCAGGACATGCTGCCCTCGCTGCAGGTCCGCGTCAACGTCATCCAGCAGCGGGTGAGTGGGGAAGGGACTCGGGTCGCTCAGCTCCAGCGAGTCGCGAAACAGGGCTCGAACCGAACGTGTGACCCCACCAATGGATTCCACGTTCGGGGCGCAATCCAAGGGTGGGGTCACACTTTCGGTTCGAGTCCCATTGAGCGAGTCTGGAGCTCAAAACGCGTCTTGACTTTTGGCTGCCTCCACCGGTCTTCTGGCCCACTGTGGGGAGGCTCGGTTCACATGCTAATGGTCGTGTGTTCTCTTTTCAGCTTGGCCTTCCTGGAGATGTTGCCTTGGAGTTCGTCAACGGCGGGCACGGCATCAAGAACCCCCTGGCCTCCCACGAGGTGCTGCCAGGGCCTCCCAGGCCGGCGGCTCGCCCCGCCCCTGAAGAGCCTGCACCAGTTGATGAAGTAAGTGAACCATTTTAAATCCTGTTCTTAATTTCAATTTTGGTGCTTTTATTTCGAGTTACAACAAAGCTTGGGTTCAATTTTCTGAAATAGAAGTTAGTTTGAATTCTACTGGGGTAGTCATTCAATTTCTCTGCCCAGTCGCTTTTTTTACATCTCGTAACAATATATTAATTCTGTAGGTGGCACCTCGTTTCCAGCAGAATGGGAAGCCGACACGCTTCTCATGTCACCTGTGCACCAAGAGCTTCTCCCTGCAGCGACTCCTCAACCGACATATGAAATGCCACAGTGACGTCAAACGTTACCTCTGTACATTCTGTGGAAAGGGCTTCAATGATACTTTTGACCTCAAGAGACACACCAGGACACACACAGGTAAGGCTGTACCTCATTGGTGCTTTAATTTGAGTGGTTTTCATTGAGTTGTGATTTTTACTTGACCCTCATTTTAAAATCTTTTTTCAGGTGTTCGTCCCTACAAATGTAATCTCTGTGAGAAGTCCTTCACCCAGCGCTGCTCTTTGGAATCACACTGTCTGAAAGTTCACGGTGTGCAGCACCAGTATGCTTACAAGGAAAGGCGTACAAAGGTGAAATATTTTAATACAAACTTAATTTAAACAATTCAATGACTTTATTGGAAATCAAACTAAGCCTGAGGTGTCATTTTTTTTCCAGATGTACGTGTGTGAAGAGTGTGGCCACACGACAAATGAACCAGAGGTCCACTACCTGCACTTAAAAGATAATCACCCGTATAGTCCAGCACTCCTTAAGTTCTACGATAAGCGGCATTTCAAGTTTACCAACTCAAATTTTGCTAACATGCTTCTACAAGTGCGTACATAAAATTTTATTTGCAACTAAGACCAGCCGTAACATGTATGTCAATGCCTTATGTCATCTGTTTACTCATTTCCAGCCGTCACAGTGAACACCTGGAAAGGTGTGGTCTGGAAATAGTGATGAAACAGATGTTCCTTACATCCATATTGACTGAACGACTTACCTGTAGGGATCTGCAATGAACAATTCAGTTTTATCCTTAGATATTTATATCCGTCCAAGATGAAACCCCCCAATGGCAACTCCTCTTGACAGTGGAGTTCTATGATGTCCCTCTCTTATATATGAACCAAAAAGTATATATTTGAGTAAAATTTTGAGTCAATTTACCTAATTTTGTTTTAAGGATAAGGTCTATTTTTATTGCTACTATTATTTTGTCTGGTATTATAGATATAATAATATTATTTTTTGTTGAGGAAGTTGATATGATTGTTTGCTAAATGTTTTGTGGAAATTCTCCTAAGATTTTTTTATGGTGAGCCACTGTGCTTTTGTGACAAAGTTAAGGCAATTGGCAAGCATCGTCATTCTATTTTAAGGGATGTTAAAAATTAATGAAGCAAATTGGTTGTGTTTTGAGAGTATATTTTGTTATTGGGACAGATAGTGTTTGGGACAGGCTAATAATGAAAAGTGTTATGTACATTTCTTCGCTGTGTATAGTGTTATTTAAAGCATTTTTTTTTTCTGCTGTTAAGGGCCTGTCCCTCTCTCTAACATAATAATTTTGGTCATGTGAAAATATGTGAAATCGAACAAAATGCATTTTCCAAATAATACATAATAATATCATTGTAATGTCTGTTGTTAACAGAAGTGTTTTAAAACAGTAGGTACCTGTGATATATTAATTTTAATGATATAAGTACAATAATGAATAAGATCAAGTTGTAGCACATAAGCATTTTTCATTATTTTAATTATAGAACAATAAAGTTTACATAGAATGAAAATCATTTATTGTAATTAATACTGATGCAAAAGGTTTGTGTACAGTGTCCGGGCTTGGTGGGAATTTTTCTTAATGCGTAAATTCTCCCGCGGCATTTAGTTATTTCTGTTGTTTACGGGTCTGTCAGAATCTTCTCCACGTAAGGATTATGTGCTTTCTTGCACACTTGTGCTTTGTAACTGCAAGTTGTGCAAAGTCCCTGCCACATACACTTTTTCATCTTTGGGAAAGCTCTTAATCTAGAAATTTAAGTCTCTCATGTTCCATTGACAAATGCTAAGGTCAGAGCTAGTTCAGGACGTAGCTCACCAAGTTTTGGAAAATAATGTAGGGTGATTGGTGGCTTGAGGACTCAAGGGTACTTTACGTGAGCTCTTTCTGAGCCAGCTCTCATATTTGGTCTCTGGAACATTTTATCAGAATCTTCAATGACATATCAGATGCTTGAGGTGTCTGACATGAAGCAAGAACTTGGGATATCTGTTGTTTATTATTCCATTACAGTATTGTGTTGTGCTTTCCTGTTAGCTTTTCCGGTTAGATTAAAAATATATATTAACAACCAACTTGAGCAGAAAGATAGTGATACATCGAATTTCGATTCTTGAACAGTTTTCTAAAACGCTGATAGGAGCCTACAACTTCTACTGATGTTGTGTAGAACTCTCTGGACTGGAGCCTAATCATTCTCCATGCTGGGTCTTTGCTGCTTTCTCCTTTTATGAAGATCTTCTCATTCTTTGATGTATTAATATTTATTAAGAATGTTTGGAAACTGAATTGTTACTTATTATGTACAGATAGATCTGAACTTAAATTATTTGAAGCACTAGCTATGGTACAGTTTGTATATTGTCAAATTTTATATCCTTGTGCTGTTTGCTAATGGTATAGGCATTTTGGAAAAATTCTTGGCTGTTTGGTGAAAGTTGTCATTGCAACTGTGTATAAAGAGCATTCACATTTGTGCAACCTGTAAACTTCCTCCCTGTGTAGCTTCTTTTTCACATCAGGTCAAGCAGTGTTATTTGTTTGTTGTTGTAATCTCAAATCTAAAACGGATTTTCATTCACAGGGTAAAATATTGTTCAGTCTTTGGCAACTAGTGCAATAATTTGATTGTGGCAAAACATCACTTTAAATCCTGCTTCTCAACTGACTTTTTTAATTCTATAATAAATGTTGATTATTTACTTATTAATTTTCAGCCAATTGCAGGAAGTACGACAAACACATGTCTTGTGATATTCATTTATCTGCAATATTTGTTAAAACTATCAATAATTAAGTGATGACCGCTTTCTAGATATTCCACGATTGAAGCACTGTTGCTAGGCTTAAGTTATTCTCTGTACTTCTTTGTATATAATTATACCCTGTTAAGAAAGACTCTCAATGTTTCTTTTTTAATAAAGTTTTATCAGAAAAACGGTTAATTTCTTTTTGAAACCTATTCCCTTGCATTAATAGAGATTTGTGAATGGAAAGAGGTAAGATGTTACCTTGAGAATTGATTGGGAAAATGGGATGGCTTCCTTACTACCGTATTACTTGGCGAGAGTAGTTTTTAATTCACGAAAAGAAGTCAGGAACAGGAGTCGGTTAGCGCTTTTCTCGGAGGATAACATTTCAAGTTTCATCGCCGACTGTCAAAAGTTCTTTTCAAATACTCGCGGGGAAGCGCACCCGTTTGCCACGCAGGGTACAAAACACTCCGCGGTCAAAAATGAGTGCATCGTACTCACTACGTCGTCTCAATACTTTCAAAATCGATACTTGGAGATAGTCACTTGTAAAGGATTATATTTGTCACATTCATTTAAAGGATCCTTGGATCGTTTAATTGTTTTACGTGTATTCAGTCATTTGTCAGTGTGGCCCTCCCGAATAAACAAAAGCGAAGCTTGGCGGGTGTGTGTAGTTCAACCTACGTCCGGGAGAGGGCGCTAGTGGACGACGAAACACAAGCTCCCATTGGCTGTAAGTTTTTTAAATCACTATTCTCGTCTCCCATTGGCCCAATTCAAACCGGCATTGTTTTGAAGGGTTGCCCGTTACATTTCTGGGTGGTTGTTGTATCTGTCGTGAAAGAAGGAGACTAAAAGCCGTGAAAGGGCTTACCGTGATTTTAGAAATTCGTTAGAAGTGCCCGTGACTTCCTGATTGTGTTGACGGTTGTGTAGAACCTGAACAGTGGCTAGGAGCTGCCTGAATACACAAGGATCGTATCGTTCTGCGGTGTTTATCTTCACTGTGGAAGGTCTAGATTTCGGTTTGACTTGGTGATTCTCCAATCAGCACAATGTTTCCTCGAGCCAAGTTACAACGATTCAACGAAATTACTAGTAAGTTAATAAAAAGTTCAATCTCCGATCCATTTTGCAGAAGATTGACCAAGATTGACACAGAATAAGCTCAAGAAATATCAAATTACTTGACATTCATAAGTTGCTATGCTGTACCAGCAAAGCCCTATGGCTACTTTAACCTCCGAGTAAATTTTTAACTGGATATTTCATTTTTTCTCAACCTACTTTCATGTTTGTCAAATGCTTCAGTCAAAGGTACTATCCTTGGCTTCTTTGTTTTTGTGTATTACATCATTATTATTTTTCAGGTGATGTCCCTCCGCCAGGAACATATGATCCGAAGTTTGAGAGTAAGAAAGCCCAAGGAGTGGCTATGGACAAGATGACAAACAGATTTGTGGAGCCTAAGGCTGCTGCAGCTTCCGGTGACAACACTCTTCAACGCTCTGCTAGTTTGAATGCTCTGCATGTTTTTCGAACAGTAAGTTCTAGATGCTGAAGCAAACATGTTCAGTTTGAATTCTGTCGGTGATATGCTTATATTTAATTGTTTCTATGTGTTTCAGCCTCAAATGCCAAAGAAGTCTGTCAAGAAGACACCATCAACAGTTAAAGCCAAACATGATTCCACCGGTGCAAGAAGGAACATTGACAGTGATTTCAGCAGCTCTGAAGATCTAACACCCCTCAAGGACAACAGAAATGAGTTGACTGAACTTCAGGATAAGTTGCAGCAAACATACTCCAAGCTAGAGGACTCGGAATCCAAGTACCAGCAACTGGAGAGTGAGCTCCTGGAAGGCAAGAAGATGATTGAAAAATTGGAGCTTGAGAAGAATGAATTGTCAAAAGAAGTAGATCGCCTTATTGAAGAGATGGCTGAGAAGAGCTCGCAACTTTCTTCTCTTACTGAATCCTACAATATTGCTGATGCTAACCTTGCTGAAAGGAAAGCCGCCGTTTCTGAACTGGAGCAATCCAAGACAGAGCTGCAATTGGAATTAGAGATTCTCAACAAGAGGGCAGAGCAGAACAAGCAGGAAATGGAGCAATCCGTCAGGCGATGCTTGGAACTGGAAGGAAGTGTCGCAGAAGCCAAAGCTGAAAATGAAAAGCTCCTAGAAAGCAGGTTGGCTCTTTCTAATGAAGTTTCAGACCTTGGAGAGCGTCTGAATGAAGCGTCAATGCAGATTCAAGCCAGAGAAGAGCACTGTGAGACTCTGGAACACGCCAAGCGGGATTTGTTGGTGTTGTTGGATGAAAAATTGCAGGCTATAGATGAGATGACAGCTAAAATTGACGAATCTGAGAAGTTTACAGTGAAGCTGGAGTCTCTTCTGTCTGACATCAAATCACAGGTGGCACTATTAGAGGAGGCTAATGCAAACCTGCAAGTTGAGGTGGTCCAGCTGGAAAGTGAACTTAAAACAGTTACTTCTGAACTGGAGACATACCAATTGAAGTGCAAGGCTCTTGAGGAAGAAATCACTGAGTACAAAGAAAATCTCCTGCAAGAGGAAACTATCAAAACCGCGTTGTCATCACAAGTTGAGGATTTAGAGTCAAAGCTAGATGAGCTGCAGTCGTTCAAAAACAAAACAGAAGAGGCTTTAGAAGAGCAGAAGTCTCTTTATCTAGGAACATTGGAAGAGAAAAGGAAGTTGCAGGTGGAAGTTGAAGAATTGGGCCTGCTGTCTGCGGAACTCCACCACAAACTGGAGCAACGACAGCAACTTATTCTAGGACTTCAGTCTGACCTTTCTAATTCAAGTTGTGAATTGGAAGAAAGACGAGCTGAAGCAGAACGCAGAGCAAAGGAGTACCGTGCTGAGATTGAGCAAATTTGCTCCAAGCATGATGAACAACTCTCTTCAATTCAGAAGGACTTGGAGAAGAATGTGGCAGACTGTGAAGCTCGAGTCGCCCAGGCTCAAGCTGAACATGAATATGAGTTAGCTAATCTGCGAGACCTTGCATACAAGCTTGAGCAACAAGTGCTGGATGAAAGAAAGTCCCAAAAAACCATGCAGAAAGAATTTGAGGAGGAAAGAGAAGAACACCAGCATGAAATCCAATCTTTGTCAGAAAAAGTTCAAGACTTCTCTCAGCAAAAGTTTCAACTGGAGGAAGCTTTGACCATGTCTCAGGCTGAACTTCAATCAGTCCAAGAGTCATATGACAACTTGGATCAGCAACTAGTAGAGCAAATCCAACTGCATGAGGATGAGATGACCTCAGTCCACTCCAAATTGAGGGCTGCTGAAGAGACTCTTGAAACAGAAAAACAGAGGGCTAGACAGCAAATTGAAGAGCTGACTCAGGAGAGTGAAAAACGTATTGCAGAAATAAAACAAAGGACTCGTATTGCACTTGAAGAAGCAGAAATTAAGCTGGATGCTGCTGAAGCAGCTTACACTCAGACCCTTCAGCAGGTCCGTGACGATACACAGGCATTGGTGCGAGCTGCTAGAACTGATGCTCTGGTGGAACTGGAGAAAGTGAAGGCGGAGACTGAACAGAAAGTTCTTGAAGCCAAAGAAGAAGTGTCGGCAATTTCAACTGAACTAGAAGAAGCCCAGGAGCAGCTCCGTCAAGTCACTGCAGCAAAAGATGAATTAAGAATCTCTAACTTGGACAAGGAGATGGTAATTGTTGAGCTTAAGGATCGTATGAATGTGATGGAAACTGAGCTTGCTCAAAGTCAAAAGTATCTTGATGATGCTCAGGAGGAATTGGAAGCTGTGAAAAATGAGCTTGACCATATGAAAAAGATCCGAAGAAATCTGGAAATTCTTGGTCACGAAACTCTTGCCATCGTTAATGCAGTCAGCAAGCGTCTTGTTGATAGTGATGTGGAAGTTGAGCGCTTGTCTCAGGTCAATTGTGCTCTTGAAACAACTATTAATGAGCAAAAGGAAAATCTTACTGTTATGGAACAAGAAAACATTCGTGATATTCAAGATATGAGAGATACTTTGATTGATAAGGTAGAATCTTTTAAGCAGAAGTGTGCTGATGAAAATTCTCGCCTTCTTGCTGAAATTAAGATTCTGCAGGAGAGTGTAGAGATGTATGCCCTGCAACTTGATGAGGCCAACCGAAATGTAGAAAGTTTGGAGAAGGACAGAGATGAGCAGGCCGCAGTTATTGCCAATCTGGAACAAACAACCAATGAACTTCAGGCCACTCAAGACTTTTTGGCAAACCAAGTGGAGGACTATTTGTCAGTGAAGAAGGCTTTCGAGCAGGCACAGAAAGAGCTGAGTCAGTGTAAGGACCAACTGGAAAAGGCCAAGGCTGATGCTGCTGACGGGGAAATGGAGATACAGCATCGTGAGAAACAGATAAACGATTTGACAAACCAGCTGGATGACCTCAATGATAAAGTAACAGAACTTCAAGGTGCCGTTCTTGAGCTTGAGACAGCAGCTGCAGAATCAGAGCAGGTTGTCAAGAACCTAGAATGCAAACTGAAACAGCAGAAAGAATCTGCTTTGAAGAGTGATTGGCAAATTGGAGAGCTGTCAAAGGAAAATGGAGAAATTATTTGCCAAAGGGACCAGTTGAAGAAGTGTCTTGAAGAGCAGAAACTTTCAGCCGATCAAGAAATTAGTGTGCTGTTGGGGGCTAAAGCCGAGCTGCAGAGCCAGCTGGAGTCTCTTACTACCCTCTTAGAGTGCCACAAGATGAATGTGTCCAAGGCAAGGGAAAGAATAGAAACTCTTGTTAATGTGGTTGCAAGAAAAGAAAGTGAAATTGAGGAAAAGGAAACTGAAATGAAGGAGTTGAAGGATGAACTCATGTCAAAATCAAACCAACTCTCTGAATTGTCTGTAATTATTGCTGATAAGGATCATGCTCTTCTATCCCTTCACAGAGATGCTGACAACCTTCGTGATGCAGTCAAGTCAAATGAAGTCCAAATTAGTGCTTTATCCAATGACTTGGACTTTGAAAAGGCATTCAGGAAGGAGTGTGAACTTAAGATAACTGAAATGCTACAAGAAAAGTTGGGTAATGAGGTTTTGATTGAAGACATGAAGGAGAAAGTATTTGAGCTTGACTCAACAATTATTGAAAAGAATGATCTCATTGCATCCCTGGAAAATAAACTTCAAGAATCTGAAGATCGAATCAATTACCTCAAAGCTGAAGCTGAAGACAGCTTGAAACAAATAACAGAAGCAGAAAAAACTATTGTAATCCTGGAGGCTGATAAGATTGGAAAAGAGAATTGCATTGCTTCTTTAAATACCAAAGTGTCAGAACAGTCTGATGTTATAGAGAAACATGAGGCCAAAATTGTTGAATTAAATGCTGAAGTTCAAAACCAGGCAGATCTTGCCAAATACCTGCGAACTCGAGTGGAAGATAATCGTAAGGAAGTAGCAAAACTGGAGGAAGAGAAGATGGCATTACAAAGCGAAGTAAGCTCTTTGAAGATGCAAAATGAAATGATTCAATGGGAAAATGAAGAGTCACTCCTTAAGTCTAAGAAGGAAGTTGAAGCCCAAAAGGAAGAGATAATATTGTTGACTGAGCAGGTTCAGAAGATAAAATTAGAAATTGAAACTGAGAAAGCCATTGGAAATGAACGTGATGAGGCTTTGAGTGAAGAAATCTCTTCTCTCAAAAAATCGTTGGGTGCCAAAACACAAGAAGTGGGCACTGTTACGGGTAGAGTACAACAGCTTGAAGCAGAACTAGATCAGACCACCCGTCGCAAGGAGACCTACAAAGCTGCTGTTGTTGAGCTGCAGCAAGCTATTAAACAGAGCCGGTCTAAAATGTCCAGCCTTGAGGATGAGGTGAAGAGCGTCCAGCAAAAGCTGATCCAAGAGAGGGATGACCATGCCAAGTGGGTCTTTGTATAGTTTTCTTCCATCAATCATGTTAAATTGTGCTAAATACAATTTTTAATCAATGTTTTGTTTTTTCTTTAGGGAAGTTGCAGCTTTGCAAGACGCTGCTTCCAATGGAATTTCCTGGGAGCAGAGATACTATGAGTTGGAAGCACTAGTTGGCCCATTCCGTGAGCAACTGGAGGCTTTCGAATCGGAGCGTCAAGCTCTGGCCACCCGCAAGGAAGCTGCTGAAGGAGAGGTGAAAGAACTCTCGCAACGTTACGCTCAAATTTTGGGACATCAGAACCATAAGCAGAAAATTCACCATGTTATCAAATTAAAGGAACAAAATCTTGATTTGAAAAAGGTATTCTAAAGTAAATAAAACGTTCTGTATGCATCTATAAAATTTATGTGGATATTAACAGTCATAATTTTTGTTTGTAGGAAAATGATAGGTTTGAATCTCAGATCCGAGCTCAGAAACGCACAATTGACAAACTTAAAGATGAATTGGCACGTGCTACTGGCCAAACTCGCTTCAACCCTTCAATGGCATTCAAGTCTCAGGATGATTCTCTACTGGTGAGCTGAAATTGATTTGTTCCATCCTGTTACGTGCTTGATTACATAGAAAGTATTTAACAAACTGTGTCTTGTTCTGACAGAACCGCCTTTCATTGGCACATTCCAAATCTTTCCTGGAGAATTCAAATCTGTCCAAGAGTTTCAGAGTTCCCACACATCAGTCCACTGCCAAGAAAGACAAAGAGAATATCTCATCCTTTGATGCATCAACACCCTTGTCAACTCGCCCCGCTGCAAAAATTAAAGAAGAGCTGCTTAGTCCTGCTCGGCACAGTCCAGCCCGAAATAGCCCTGTTGGTAGCCCTGCAACCCCTCTGAAGGAAGTTCAAAACCAGCAGCAGGTCAACTGAAGCACCAAGATAACTATATATATTACTTCTTTTAAATATTGCAACATGTCTGGTTAAGACTTCAGTGGTGTTCATATTATGATTACCTCAAGTAGAGGCAGTTTTACTTCAGTTTTACATTCCTAGTTCATGGGTATGACTTTCAGCATAAATCCTTTCTTTTGGGAAACATTTGATGTGTGTCCATATTTTAGATTTAAGTAAAATCATTTTACTTAGCATAGTTATGTTGCATGAATGCTCAAATTATTACATTTAAGAAATGTATTCAGTTTTATTTGCTTGTGGATGATACAGATCAGCAGATGTATGGTATTTCCCTCACTTGTTTATTAAGATACATTAGTTAAGGTATCCCCCTTAGTGTGTTAATATTATTTACCATTTAGACCTTGACTCTGACCTAGTCAGAAATATGCCACACAAATGTTCCTTGTATTGAGTAATTCGAGCCTCCACAATGGAGAGTTCTGCATGACTTGTTCATAATTGTAAATGTGTGCGCATAAAAAAATTACAATGTAACTGAAGTATTATTGTATCTGGTTATAATGGAGTATGTGACCTATGTAATTCTCTCTGCTTGACAAAATCATATATATTTATAGTCATGTAAAGTATTTTAGCATAGGAAATCTTGTTGATATTTACTTAATTCTTTTATATTTGTGATGTTTCTACAGTGCAGAAATAGTGCACTACAACCTGCCAAGACACTGCCATTTGTGCCTGGATTCTTTGATTCTTTGGAGTTAATCTTAAGTTCTGTAACATGGGCTCTTACTTATTTTGCATGATGTATTGTAAGACTGAGAGTGATGCATGTATTGAGACCTGAGCGCCAACATCAATGTTCAAATGCAACAATGTATTCAATCAAACGTACAAATTTAAATAATTTACGAATGTAAATAGGTGTGTTTTTATTTTTTTTCTTGAAAAATAAAAGGGCAAAACATTGACCTTATCAATATTTCTGATTTGTCCCTAGTGTGACGTACAAAGAGACATACAGGAAAGAATGTGAGTAGGAAAACAGTAGTAATATAAAGTACAAAAAGTCACAGCCTTTTCTGAGCAAATAGTTCAAATAAGGGAAGTTCTAAAATGGAATGTGACAGTATTCACAGTTTCAGGTATCTTGGTTCTAGTTGGCTTCAAGTTCAGGCCTTTAGAACTGAACAATAGAATGAACAGAACATGGGAGGTTGCTACGCCCCTGCAGCTCTATGAGTTCCATCAAAACCAGCAGTTCTACCACTTCCCCACCCATGTCTCTGATAAGTTGGCAAGCAGCTTTGCCTGTTCCTGAAGAAGAAAAGAAGAAAGAAAGTGAGGTATTTTCTGTAAAGCAGTATCTATGACCAAGTATAACACAGCCAAGGTCCAATGCCCAATTCTGAGTGAGTATTATAAAGTGACTGCAATGTGTTTGTAGAGCTTACCTCCAGTTGCCAAGAGATCATCAATCACTACAACTTTCTGCCCAGGCTTAATGCTGTCCTCCTGCATTTCAAAGGTATCCTAGACCAGAAACAAACCAATTAGCAACTGACTTACACATGTTAAAAGACAATTCAGAACTATGAAAAGACTCCAAAATAACTCACCGTTCCATATTCCAGAGTGAATTCCACTTCCCTTGTCTTACCAGGAAGCTTTCCTTTCTTCCTAACAGGCACCAACGGAAGTCTTAACTTTGACGAAACGAAAGGCGCCAAGAGAAAACCTCTGGACTCTAAAGCGACGACAACGTCAACGTCATTAAGACTTTTCACATGTTCCACCAATAAGTTTTCCAGAGCAGCAGTTGCTTGAGGACTCCGGAATATTGGAAACATGTCCCTGCAACAAAACACAGAAACTTGTCACTTGCCACACATGGGTGTCATTCTGGGCACCATTCTACACGTTCAAATAAATCAAAACCACACCTGAACAGTATCCCCGGTTTGGGGAAGTCAGGAAAGGATGCGATGTGAGCCTTGACGATTTCCAGGTCCGACGTTAGATCCATGATGATTAAATTACCAGTTAGTCAATGGACTTCAATTGGATTTGTTTGGAACGTCGTCTGCCAAAATGTTAGGTTATGCAACTGGTCAAGCAAACAACAAGTAATGCATTGCCAACACTGTACTGTTTTAAACGAACAATATACGACTTTTTATAGCTTTTATGTGGATTAAATTTATAGAAAATACTGTTAATTATAATTTTCTTCTCCAAACCTATTTTAATCATGTGCTTTCATGGAGGATTGAATCTGGATTTGACCTGTCTTTTCGACTGTGCAATGGCGAAAGTGGCAGACCTGGAACAAACAAAAAAACCAAGGCAAAGCGCAGCGCCGCCTGGCCAGGCGTGGTGGTCACCATTGGAACTACAAATAAGTTGTGTTCTGGTGTACTGTCGAACTGGCCGAGAGCAGACGACGCCTCCCAGAGGGTTGGAAAGCCAGACATTTCGAGGGAAATTTTAAAACGCAGGGGACACAAAGTTTTCACGCTTCACAGGTTTCCCATTTCAAGGACACCGTAACTGAATATTTTGACTTTATGGAAGAGATCTCCAAATCGCCCTTTATTTCTAAAGCACTTGATCATAAAAACTGCTGACGGCGGAGTGCCCCGGGACAGCCCCAGCGCGTCTCGGGAAAGACCGCAGCCGTCTGCAGGATTCCGAGGGTCGCTTGCGTCGCTCTGTCTCTCTCGCACTCGTGGAGCGTCCCGTAAAGGTGCGAGAGAGAGAGCGACGAAAACCACTCGATCGGAATCACGCGTCTGCTGGACGTCTGGAGAGGGAAGGACCTGGGCTCCACAAGCGGCGCTCCGGCGCTGTGATTGTCCAGTCTTCCTCCAGCCGCCTCCAGGGACAGACTGCCTGGACCTCTGGCCTGGACCGCGCACAGCTCCAGGGAACGACTTCAGCGAGGGTGGCGCTCCAAGACTCCGTCAGGATGCTGCGAGCGAGCATGTTCGCATGTCTGTAAGTTCGGAAGGCTCCTTTGAGAAAAAATGGGCCACGTGCAGGTCTTGCACACATTTAGACGAGTGACGTGGGAAGTGAAGTGTCCAGGATGCGTGCTGCTACAGACCAGTCAACACTTCGATGAGCTATTTTTAAACGTCTAATCACCGCAAAACAGATCTGCAGGCAAAAAAGGGGAAGAGCGTAGATTTTCCTTTGATTTCCCTTGTATGCAATATTTGTCTCTCAGCGTGATGGTTTCTGAGCGAGTCTCGGTCAGAAAATGTGACGGACCAATTAAGTTAATTAATCCTCGACTTTTTCCGTCTTGCCCGACTACGAAGGGAGATAGTAGCAGAGGTCAGAAAAAGGCGCGAGAGGGAACCCGAAAGTCCGGCTCCTCACAGCCACCCTGTCGCGCGAACATTGTTTGTCCCGGCCTTGGAAGGTCATACACTGGGAGCTTTGACACCGACGCAAAGCTACGTGCGTGCGGAGCGGAGGCCTGGACAACGATCCTGTCTGGAACAGGTTGCGGGAGACCCCCGTGACGTCAGAGCGCTGTCTCGTTCGCTCTCGTGGTGTGTGCCGTGGAGGTGCGAGAGAGACGGAGCGACGAATCCGTCTGCAGGTTTGTTTTCCTCATGGGGATACCCCAGCTCGGCAGAGCCACTGTGATATGCGACTGGAACTGGAATAAAGGGGCATCGGACACAGAGAGGACCGCGCCAAAGGAAGATGCGGGGAAAGCTCTTTCATTCAACACCAAAAACAAATTTTGGCAGTGTGGCAGCAAGGGTGGTTTCTGTCGGCAGGCTGGCAGTCCTCGCGTGCGTGGCAGTGCCTGCGGCCGAGGCGCAGGCCACCGTGGACCAGCTGCAGTACCTGTTCGACAGGCCGGCAGAGCCCATCTTCATGCCCAAGGAGGGCGACAAGAGCAAGAAGAAGATCTTCTTTGACGTGCCCAAGGAGTACCTGGTAAACATCTCTCTCTCTCTCTCTCTCTCTCTCTCTCTCTCTCTCTCTCTCTCTCTCTCTCTCTCTCTCTCTCTCTCTCTCTCTCTCTCACTGTCTCACACCCTCTCTGTTGTTTCAGACGGACCGGCAGAAGCAGCTGGGCACCCCCGTCATCAACCGCTTCGGCGAGAAGGCGGAACGCATCGCGGTGCGCAGGATCAACCTGCCGGACCTCAGCATGCCGGCCAGCCTGGGCAAGCGCGCCGGCTTCTCGCTCTTCCTGCCGGAGCACCGCAAGCTGGCCACCAGGCTCATCAACGTCTTCATGGGTGCGTGCGTCTCACAGTGGAGAGGATTTGCCAGAGTCTCGGCCCAAACTCGAGACGCGTTTTGAGCTCCAGAGTCGCTGAAAGGGACTCGAACCGAACGTGTGACCCCACCAATGGATTCCTCGTTCGGAGAGCGCCTGTCATGACAAGGGTAGGCAACCACTCGGCCCGCCAGTGTACCGGGTTGCCTATCCAGTGTGTCGCAGGCGCTCCGCCAGGAAGCGTTTTGCGCTCCAGAGTCGCTAAATGAGACTCGAACCGAACGTGTGACCCCACCAATGGATTGCTCTCCGAACGAGGAATCCATTGGTGGGGTCACACGTTCGGTTCGAGTCCTGTTTAGCGACTCTGGAGCTCAAAACGCGTCCAGAGTTTTGGCCGCCTCCACCGGCCTTCTGGCCCACTGCGAAAAAACAATCGATAGAGAACGGTTGTTTGAACCCGTGCCGTGGCGTTGCAGGCATGCGCAACCTGGACGACTTCCTGTCCGTGTCGGTGTACGCGCGCAACCACCTCAACCCGTACCTGTTCATCTACGCCTACTCCGTGGCGCTGCTGCACCGCACCGACACGGCCTCCGCCCACCTGCCACCGGTGTCCGAGCTGTTCCCGGAGAAGTTCGTCACCGGCTCGCTCTTCTCGCAGGCCAGGGAGGAGACCAGCATGGCGCTGGACCCCACCCAGCGGGTGAGGACCTCTCTCTCTGTCTCTCTCTCTCTGTCTCTCTCTCTGTCTCTCTCTCTCTCTCTCTCTCTCTCTCTCTCTCTCTCTCTCCCCCCTCACTCACTCTCAAAATCACGGGGTACATGAAACAAATCTTGCCATCTCTATCAATTATTTCAATATTTATTATTAAAGTACAAAATGTCACTATTACATTATTTAAATTAGAGTGAACTGGCGAGGGGTACGTTCCTCAGGGCACGGGGAAGTCCATACAGAGTAGCACGCGTCAATTCTGTGTCCATCGTGGCGATTTCAGAGTGGCGTGGTCCAATCCCACCCCCCATTGGGCATCACCGCAGTGGCCGTTAGGTTCCATGGACAATTTCTACAGGGACACAGAAAAAAATAAAAATGTAAAAATCCAGAGTCGCTAAATGGGACTGGAACCGAACGTGGCTCGACCAATAGATTGCTTTCCGAATGACGAGGCGGCCTAAACCCTGGACGCGTTTTGAGCTCCGGAGTCGCTGCATGGGACTCGAACCGAACGTGTGACCCCACCAATGGATTGCTCTCCGAACGAGGAATCCATTGGTGGGGTCACGCGTTCGGTTCGAGTCCCATTTAGCGACTCTGGAGCTCAAAACGACTCTACAATTTTGGCCACCTCCACCGGTCCTCTGGCCAGTCCACTGTGTCGTGGCTGCACTCACCATTCTTCGCGCTCGTAGGCACGACTGTTGAGGTCCTGCATGCGGCGGTACTGCTCTCTCTCTCGCTCCATGTCGCGTTCCCGGCGTGCCCTCTCTGCCGCCCGCTCCCTCTCGCGCTGTCGCTCTCTCTCCCTCTCCCTCTCTCGCTCTCTCTCCCTCTCCCTCTCTCGCTCTCTCTCCCTCTCTCGCTCTCGCTCCCTCTCGCGCTGCTTCTCCTTGTCGTCGTCTTGGCGGTTCATGTTCGGACGGTTCACTGTTTGGCGGTTTCACTGCGAATCTCGGCCATTGCCAGGGAGCCGCTGTTCTTATAGTGGCGTGTCGGTCTTGGTGGAGCCGGAGGTGATCCCCGTGAGGGGTGCCCCTGTCCGGCAAGCCCTTCGGGGACTGCCGGCGAGGACTCCACCGAGAGGCATTCCCCGAGCGGGGCTCCCGGCGTGCACTTCACGTCTGTCTCGCACACGTCCGGGTCGCCCCGTCAGTGCGAGAGAGACGGAGCGACGGGCGGCACTGCCCAGGCACTGCCCGTCATCGTGGAGATAAGCACTGTACAGCACAGTGCAGTCCCAGGCGAACGTCTACAAAGTGCCACAAAGTGCCTTGATGTGTCAGTTAGGAAAAGGAGGGCTTTGAGAAATTTTTCAGGATTTTTTTTTGCCGCCGGGAAAATGGCAGGTTGTCTCCTTCCTTCGAGCTTTTAAAAACACGCGGCGCGCCTGCAGGTGCCCCTGGAGATCCCCAAGGACTACTCGGCGTCCGACCTCGAGGAGGAGCACAAGATAGCGTACTGGCGCGAGGACCTGGGCATCAACCTGCACCACTGGCACTGGCACCTCATCCACCCCTTCGAGGGCCCCCGCGAGGTGGTGGGCAAGGACCGACGCGGCGAGCTGTTCTACTACTCGCACCAACAGATCATCGCGCGGTAAGGCTGCCAGAGTTCAACCCGCGCACAGTGGGCCAGAAGACCGGTGGAGGCGGCCATAATTCAAGACGCGTTTTTAGCTTCAGAGTCGCTAAATGGGACTCGAACCGAACGTGTGACCCCACCAATGAATTCCTCGTTCGGAGAGCAATCAATTGGCGGGGTCACACGTTCGGTTCGAGTCCTGCTTAGCGACTCTGGAGCTCAAAACGCGTCTTGAATTTAGGCTGCCTCCTCCGGTCTTCTGGCCCACTATGCACTGGAGGGAAACATCTTGGTGTTTCCTTGTTGAACTTGTTGGGACTGCCTGCAGGTACAACTTGGAGCGGCTGTCCAACGGTCTGCAGCGAGTGCGGCGACTCCAGAACCTGCGCGAGCCAATCAAAGAAGGCTATTTCCCCAAGCTGGACAGCCTGGTGTCTTCCCGCGCCTGGCCCTCCAGGGCAGCCAACACAGTCTTGTCCGTGAGTACACCTAAGTACACAAAACGCCATCATCATAGTTTTCTCCTCGCTAAACTTGAATTCTATTGTCCTTTCGGCTTTCAGGATATCAATCGTGAGTCCGACCAGATTCAGTTCGACCTCCAGGACATGGAGCGCTGGCGGGACCGCATCTACGAGGCCATCCACACCGGTTTCGTTGTGTCGGTGAGTGCCCCGTCACTCTCTATTTCATTTAGAGAATGAATTTCAAGAATGAAAACCACGCCTGGCATGAGATTTCCCCGAAATAGTGAAAAAGGCTCATGTTGTGCGCAGGCCGACGGCAGGAGGATAAACCTGACGGAGGCAGGGGGTGTGGATGTCCTGGGCAACATCCTGGAGTCCAACGTACTGTCCCCCAACCGACCGCTGTACGGAGACCTGCACAATTTCGGTCACATCGCCATCGGCTTCGCCCACGACCCCGACAACCGGCACCTGGTGAGAGAGAGAGAGAGAGAGAGAGAGAGAGAGAGAGAGAGAGAGAGAGAGAGAGAGAGAGAGAGAGAGAGAGAGAAGAAAGAAAACTTGAGCATGATTCGTGTGACTGGACCATACCGATGGCACGCTGTTGCTGACAGGAATCGTTCGCCGTGATGGGAGACGCTGCCACCAACATGAGAGATCCGGTCTTCTACCGCTGGCACTCCTTCGTGGACGACCTCTTCCAGGAGCACAAGCGCACCCTGCCCGCCTACACGCCGCAGCAGCTGGACTTCCCCGGCATTCAGATCAAGGCAAGTGGAGTAAACAAGAGAAAACTAATTTTTTCAGAGCCAGGAAAGTACTAAGAATGAAAGAGAACCACTTGCACTTGTGCCATCTGCAATTATTTTTTTAAAGTATTTTTTTTAAATGAATTTAGCTGATGTTTTTAAATTTTTGTAAGCATAAAATTTATTTCCCCTGCAGAGCGTCGAGGTGCTTTCTGCAGGCGGGCGGAAACCCAATGAGTTCCAGACATTCTGGCAGCAGAATGATATGGACCTATCAAGAGGGCTGGACTTCTCACCCCGAGGATCCATCTTTGCACGATTCACACATTTGCAGCATCGACCCTTCACCTACCGCATCCAGGTTGGACTTAAACTTGATGGCTATTTTATATTTTCTGTTCTACAAGAGGACAAATTTCGAACTGTTTTGATTTTTATTTCAGGTTGAGAATACACTAGCTGGGCAGAGGGAAGGGTATGTACGAATCTTCCTTGGCCCCAAGAATGATGAACGAGGAGTACCTATGTTGTTCAGAGACCAACGGACCTTTATGATCGAGTTGGACAAGTTCCCTGTCACTCGTGAGTTTTTTATTCTCATTGTTTGTGACAATTTATAAAAATGTTCTATTTTCTGTGGAGAGCAACCAAATCTCATGTCCCTTTCTGTTTTTGCAGTGAATCAAAGGAACAATGTGATTGAGAGACGTTCCACCATGTCATCTGTCACAATCCCCTTCGAGAGAACTTTCCGTAACCTGGATCAAAATAGACCAACAGCTGCTGATGCCCTGGACCAGTTCAACTTCTGTGGCTGTGGGTGGCCGCAACACATGCTTATTCCCAAAGGGACTCCACAGGGAATGCCAATGCAGCTGTTCGTCATGATCACAGACTACTCCAAGGACAAAGTACGCTAGTTAAAAAATTACTTAGTTTAAGCATTAAATTCCTTTCGAAGCAAGTCCTAACTCTGGACTCACCTGCAGGTAAACCAACCCCTGGAAGGCATGTGCAAGGATGGGGCTGCTTACTGTGGCATTCGAGGACAGCTGTACCCGGACAAGAAGCCCATGGGCTTCCCCTTCGACCGGCCGGGCCGCCAGGGCGTGGACACACTCCGCTCCTTCCTCACCAGAAACATGTTCATCCAGGAGGCCTCCATCCGTTTCCAGGACCGCGTGGAGGCACCTAACCGGGGCAACTCCACACTCATCAGAGGCTGAGTGCTGGATTCCGAATCAAACAAAAAGAACACTCTTTCCAGGGTTTTAGTTTCGTTTTACATGAAACGATAGCGTAAAACCTTGGAGTGACTGATTACAGCTACGAAGAGACTTCCCTGCCCATTCAAATTTTTGTGTTTTATCTGTAATTATAGAGTCAATAAATGTACTGATTCCCTAGTGTTCATTGTGAATATAAGGCTGTTATGTGAGGGCTTGTTTGTCTTGTCCACGTTCTTGAATGTCAACTAGAAACTAGCCAGGAGCTCGAGGCAATACCCCTTGCCTCAAGAGACGCTAGGACGCTAGGGTGTCGGTGTCGGTAAGGGCAAGGGGTATATCCTTTCCTTGACCACGACTTTTGGAGACTCGCAACAATCGCGCCGAAACTGAAGGTGATCCCACAATGGGTCGGTCGGTCGCAGACGGTCGGTCGAACGGTCGATCGGCAACGCTGTGGAGGCTCATGTGTCTCGGTGGCTCCGGGCGCAGAGGCAGCGGCCGCCTCGAATGAGGACTTGGATTCGAATCCCAATGACAAACTTATTTTCTTTAGCTGGCCTGGGTTCGGCTCCCAGGAGTGAATCTTTTCCTAAGTTTACTTCTTACATCCGGTACCACCACTCTAAGATTGATCGCATTGCATCTCAGTGGCTGGTTGGCTGATATGGTAGAGGTGTCAGCTGGCGGGAGGAAGTCCTGGGTTCGACTCCCAGGTGGGTGAATCTTTTTCCTCAGGTTACTTCTCAAACCCGGTACCATCACTCTAAGATTGATCTCATTGCATCTCAGTGGCTGGTTGGCTGATATGGTAGAGCGGTGTCAGCTGGCGGGAGGAAGTCCTGGGTTCGACTCCCAGGTGGGTGAATCTTTTTCCTCAGGTTACTTCTCAAATCCGGTACCATCACTCTAAGATTGATCGCGTTGCTTCTCAGTGGCTGGTTGGCTGATATGGTAGAGGTGTCGGCTGGCGGGAGGAAGTCCTGGGTTCGACTCCCAGTTGAGTGAATCTTTTCCTCAGTTTACTTCTCAACCCCGGTACCATCACTCTAAGATAGGACGTGTCGGACAGGTGTGTTGTCGTAGCTCAGGTGGCAGAGCGATGGGCCGTGGAGGCTGGTTGGAGGCCATGCGGCAGCACATGTTTCCCGTTGGACCTGGTTCGCTACCAGCCAGGTCAGGTTACTAACCCTTTATGATTGCCCCTACTCCCCTCTCCTTCTGGGAGGGGGGGTAGGGGGGGTGGGAGCCGACGGCGGGAACTCTTTTGCATCCTAGAGGTGATATACAGAGAGCAGCGCCACCAAGATAGACCACCCATTTGCCACGCTTGGGGTGGAGGCTGACGGCAGGAACTCTCTTTTGCACTCTTTGAGGGAAAGACAGACGAGTGTGAGTGTGTGCTGCGCGTCTATTAACAGCCAGGATTGTTTGGAAGATCTGGCCTTTAATTCAGTGTATGAGCCGCGCCGTCAAGGTAGGCCACCCATCTGACACGCTGCTGCAAAAGCAGCACCGCGGCGGAAAACATAAGCCATAAGTTACTCTTAGCCGGGATTTGAACCCGAGTGCTTCTCTCTACGACCGACACCTCAGCCCCCTGAGCCACCGAGGCTCTCCTTAACATGAACCAGTCTGAACTTGGGCTAATTGTAACGCATTCATGCAGTCAACTGAGAAAAATGTTTCGGTACCCGGGATTCGAATCAAAGTCTCTCAGCGCGAACACCTCCTCTGCGCTCCCAGCCACCGACTGACAGCACAAAACGAAAACTGGGGACAAGATTAACCTGCCAAAAATTAGAACCCAGTTCCTTACCAGGAAGGCAGCTCGCTCAAACCATGCTCAAACACCTGCTGGCTCAGCCACTATTCGCACAATTTGGGAGGCAGAAAGCTCGTATGAAAAATTTGTACGCGCGAGTCCTGGGATCTCTCCCCTGCGAGTCGGCGTCGCGCGTCTGCTGTCTGCTGTTGTTGACGTTTTGCAGCCACTGGCAGAAGCCTCGAACCTCTCAAGCTCTTTTATGGCTTCCTCGTGAACCATATTCCAACCTCAGACTAGGAATATGCCGTACGACCAACTCAGTCATTTTGACGAAAAAAGCGGCACTGTGCGGAGTGCGACACCCTGGGGTTCCTGGTGGCAGACCGTTCATGAGGTGCACATTGAGGTTAACTTACCAGCCAACACAAGATCCAAAAATATCCAAGTAAACATTCAGCCAAAAAGCATCGAGGTCAAAGTACTGGGGGAAGTTGTGATTAAAGTAAGTTATCGTGTCGGTAGCTGCTGCTACTGACCTTCAGCTTATGGTCTCATGTTTTAAAAAATACTAACATGGTTGTTAAGTTCATCCTTCTTTGTATTGATTGTTTTGTCCCGTAGGGAAATCTTCTTAAAGCTGTTCATGGTGACGACTCTTTGTGGACCATAGAAGATGGCTCTATTCTAGACATTGTTCTCAGTAAATCCGATACCTTCAAGCAAGATGAAATATGGGAGTCGCTACTGGAAGAAGAAGGGTATAAGCCGGACCCTTTGACTCTGCATGAGATGAGGAAGAAGTTAGATCTTGAAAGATTCCAGTTGGAGGTAAATTTTGAAAGATAATGGTTTATGATAGGCTAGTTTCTTTTTCCTGTTTTTCTTATTTACTATTCATGTTTCAGAACCCTGGCTTTGACTTCAGCCAGGCAAAACTGCAGAAATGTTACGACTCACCTCCTGTTTAATAGTTTACAAAAAGCGCTGTCAGATATTTTGAATGTTCCTTTTGTTGATTTTGACTGTTATTACCCTTGTTCCACCAAGATATGTTCACTCTAAAAAAAATGCAGTTTCATTAGTGGAAATTGTGTCTCAATAGCAATAAACTATGTACTCAGTCTAACTTTTTTTTTACTTTTTACTTTTATTATTTTTTAACATAAAAAGTCCTAGAGTGTTTACTTTGAGATAAGGTACGAAGTTAAATAAAATGAAATATCTTACAACACAAGGAAAATACAAAATAATCAGTGAAGTAGCACATTTATCGAACTGTTACTGCTTTCCTGTATTCTCGGAATTGTTCTAAGTACTGTTGAATTGTGTCAAGCGGCTGGTAGATTTCTTGCATACGATTCTGTAACAAAAAGAAAATCCATTAGACGAAACTGATTATATGTGTCTTTTCCCAAGTTTCAACTTTTTTTAAGAAGGAAAACACACCTGTAGGTAAACAGGGGCTTGAGCTGGTGCACATGTACCGAGAAATCCTTGCATAAACTCCCTGATTAATTCCCAGCAGTACGCAGGTACAACACAGGGTCTGTACTCCACCTGAGGAAAAAAAAGGGCACAAATTTAAGAGAAAAATAAAAGGGTCAGTTTATGGGACATGGGGTAAAACTGGGACAGCTCATTGTTTTGTCAAGATTCGACATTTTTCAACTCATGCCATACCAAATGTAATTTTCACAATAAAAACACCACTTTGGTATGGCATGAGTTCAAAAATGTCAAATACTGACAAAAAATTCAGCTGTCCCATTTTTACCCCGTGTCCCATAATGACCCCAACTGACCCTAATGAAAAAAAAAATTCACGCTGAAAATTAAAAAGGGCGTAGGAAAAAAATAATGAAAGAAAAATGACCTCGACGAGCACCCCCTTGAAGTTCTGGTTCATGGTGACGGTGCCCAGCTTGACGAGGAAGTCGGCCACCTCGAAGCGCGGCCCCTTCGCCTCCATGCGCGTCTGCTGCTTGCCCGTGTACACGGAGGCCAGCTTCTTCATGAGGTCCATGAACAGGGGGTCCGACACCAGCGGCACCTGCTTCTGCCCCGACTCCAGGATGCTGAACACGGTGGCGGGCTGCTCCGAGTTGTTGAGGAGGTGCACCGTCCGCGGCGGGCCTGCAACAACGACACCAAAGTTCGGCATGAGAATCATTTCGCGCTGGCTGGCGCACAGTGGGGCAGAAGACCGGCGCGGGCGGCCAAAACTCCAGACGCGTTTTGAGCTCCAGAGTCGCTAACTGGGACTCGAACCGAACGTGCGACCCCACCAATGGATTGCTCTCCGAACGAGGAATCCATTGGTGGGGTCACACGCTCGGTTCGATTCCTGCTAAGCGACTCTGGAGCACAAAACGCGTCTAGAGTTTTGTCCGCCTCCACCGATCTTCCGGCCCACTGTGTGGAGACCTTGTAGTTTTTTTTTCGTGCAGATTATTGGGGCTGCTTCTCGCCTTCACACGAGCAGCCAGCCCTCCCCCTCCTCTCTCCCCCACCTGCTCCCACAATGTTAACCGGCATGCGGGTGCGCGGAGCCAGGCGGAAAGACCCCCCAGAACTCAGAAGTGGGCGGCAAGAAAAAGAAACGAGACGAGAAAAAGAGGGGGGGGGGCGAAAGCAGGGGAGTGGAGCGCCACTAAATTAAACGCTCTCATCGCACTAATTAGAACGTTGCCATGCCGGACTCCATGCAGTATGCAGCATCCAGCGATGCTCTTTTTTCCCCCTCCTTTTTATCCTATTCCCGCTTCTCTTTTCCACGGGGATGTTTACTTTGGCCACCTCTCGCCGTGGCTGCCGTGGCGGGGTGGGGGTGGGGGTGGGGGTGCACCTCGCCCTGTTTGCGTCCGCCTGGTTCTGGCAGCGCGGCCCAGCCTCGGATTGTACATTGAAACAAAGTAACGCGGGACCGCCGCGCCGCCGTGCCCCTCGTGTTGCACTTCGTTGGCGCCTCCGAGTAGGGTGGCGAGGAACAGCCGAGGAAAACTCGGTCTTGCGCGGCGCCAAAATAAGGCAACTTGCAGTGAGGTTTGCCTACCTTTCAGACGGCTGAACCGAACGGAGCGTGTGACCCCACCAATGGATTCCTCGTTCGGAGAGCAATCCATTGGTGGGGTCACACGTTCGGTTCGAGTCCCATTTAGCGACTCTGGGGCTCAAAACGCGTCTAGAGTTTTGACCGCCCCACCGGTCTTCTGGCAGATCCACTGTGCCGCGCTGCCGCGCTCGGATTCCCAGGCAAACGGGGAGCGACTCATGCGGTGCAGCACACTGTGCAGCACACTGTGCAGCACTGTGCAGTGGAGCGCGCGCTGGACCATCCCAGATTCCCAGACGGCCTGGGCAGCCTGCGCCCTGCCCTGCAGACTCATTCCGAGAGTCCCTTCCGTCGCGCTGTCTCTCTCGCACTCACTAGAGCGGCGTGCCGCGTGGGAGCGAGAGAGGCAGCCCTTCCCGGCCCTTCCCCTTCACGGGCCCCTCCACGGCCCAGGAAGGGCCCGGCCTCGGCCCGCCCAAAAGCACACACTGTAAAGACCGAAATAAGACTTTCCCCGGAACAGCGAAGCCGCGGACCGCACCACCGGCCGAGCCACCGGCCGACAACCAAAGCCACAGCACTGCGAGCACAACCAGCTCCACGGCCTGCTTCGGTACGACGTACACGGTGGGTGCACTCTAAAATTTGGTTGCCTCTTTCAAGACAATTTCACCTCAAATCAACCACATTTTCATTCAAACTCCTATAAATATGACATGGGGCGTGACATTAGTATCATCAATACTGGAGTTGGCAGCCTCACAGAGTGCCAGAACCCCATACAAAATAAACCCGTGTTGTACAACAAACATGCGACGAGAAAAAGAAAACAACAACTTTTTTCATTCCTCCTGTCGTCGCATTTTGTGGCAGAGTAGGGAGCCAGCCCCATTCATCTCGTCTCGTAGGGACGGCCGGTCGGACCGGCACACCGAGGGTCGTTTCCGTCGCTCCGTCTCCCTCGCACCGAAAGGGGGCGCCCGCGAGTGCGAGAGAGACAGAGCGACGAAAGCGACTCTCGGTCCGCCGGTCGGGGCGAGCCTCGGCGCGAGCGGAGGACAGTGGGCCAGAAGACCGGTGGGGGCGGCCAAAACTCTAGACGCGTTTTGAGCTCCAGAGTCGCTGAATGTGACTCGAACCGAGCGTGTGACCCCACCAATGGATTGCTCTCCGAACGAGCAATCCATTGGTGGGGTCACACGTTCGGTTCGAGTCCCGCTTGGCAACTCTGGAGCTCAAAACGCGTCTAGAGTTTTGGCCGCCTCCACCGGTCTTCTGGCCCACTGTGCGGAGGAAGCTGCACCGAACAGGCCGGAAACGCCAAGGGGCTAATAATACGAGCAAAACGCAGTCAGACGCAGTCTCCCTCCGGCCTTCCATCACGCCACAATGTCACACCCCGGGCAGGCGCCACGCGCCGAGAGAGAGAGAGAGAGAGAGAGAGAGAGAGAGAGAGAGAGAGAGAGAGAGAGAGAGAGAGAGAGAGGGGGGGGGGTCGTGCCCGCGACAGGCGACAAAGTGGCCGCACGGCCTCAAGGAAATTTCAAAGCGTTATTCACCGGAAACTCTTTAATTTCGTTCGTATGATAAATTCACTTGCCCAACTTTATTATTTCGGAGGCTGTCTCGACGCACCCCGGCCTGGCGGCCTGGCGGCCCCGCCCCGCCCGGGCCGACTCTGAAAAATTACGTCCCCTGCCTCATAATAACAACGATTCTCCGTCCTTTGTTCGCCGCCGGCGCCAGTGTGCCAGCGGCTCCACATTCTGTCCTTGTCTGACGTCGCGGACGTCGCGGGAGGAGCCGCGCATTCCGCATTTCAAGCCCACACAGAGCTAACTTCCAAAGTCTGATTCCGAATAGCGCTTTCGTCGCGACGGCTCGGCCGAGCGCCGAGTGCGAGAGAGACAGAGCGACGGAAGCACTGTTCAGTCTGCACGCAAAGCCCGGAGGATCTTCCTGAACTCACCGCCTTCTATTTCACTTTCGGTAGAGGGTCGGAAAACGGGTGCAACGAGTGCAAACGAAGTGCAAGGTCGCGGGAGAGGCGAAAATGGGGTGGGGGCAGACATCGAGTGGGAGGCAAGTGGGGAAAACTAGAAAGTGAGAAAGTAAAGGAAAGTGGAAAGTGGGAGGGTAAAGAAAAGTGGAAAGTGGGAAGGTAAAGAAAAGTGGTAAGTGGGGAAGTACAGAAAAGTGGAAAGTGGGAAGGTAAAGAAAAGTGGATAGTGTGAAGGTAAAGAAAAGTGGGAAGTGGGAAGGTAAAGAAAAGTGGTAAGTGGGGAAGTACAGAAAAGTGGAAAGTGGGAGGGTAAAGAAAGGTGGAAAGTGGGAAGTTTGGAAGTAAAGAAAAGTGGGAAGTGGGGAGGTAAAGAAAAGTGGGAAGTAAAGAAACGTGGAAAGGTAAAGAAAAGTGAAAGACGGGAGATGAAAAATAAAATGAAAAGTGGGCATTGTGAGGTGGTGAAAAGTGGACAGTAAAGGGCGGGAAGGTGTTATGGTAGGCGTTGCGGACGTCGTGAGCCAGGGGGGCCAGGGGTGGGGCGAGTGCATTATTCCACCTCCATCCTCTTTGTATGCGCATGTTGAGCATATTGATCGAGATTGAAGAAACAAATTTCGAAACCAAACGGAGCGGGGCTGGGCAGCGGAGGCTGGCGGAGGCCGCGGAGGCCGCGGAGGGGGTTGTGCGGCCCTGCCGGGCCCTGCGCGCGGATCAAAGCCCCGCAGAAACCTATTTTGACAAGGCTCACCCTCTACATGCCGCGCGACGATGCCGCCCGACGCATCCCCACTCACCCAGAAAACAACAGGAAGGAACGCCACAAACATTGGCCCTGGGTTCAACTACCGCCTCCGCGGATCCACCGAAGAAAAGCCGCACGAGATTTTTGCGGCCGTTCCGAGGGGAAGGCCGCACTTTTTGACAAGCATCCTGTGCTGCAGTGGGCCAGAAGACCAGTGGAGGCGGCCAAAATTCTAGACGCGCTTTGAGCTCCAGAGTCGCTAAGTGGGACTCGAAACGAGCGTGTGACCCCACCAATGGATTCCTCGTTCAGAGAGCAATCCATTGGTGGGGTCACACGTTGCGTTCGAGTCCCGCTTAGCGACTCTGGAGCCCAAAACGCGTCTAGAGTTTCGGCCGCCTCCGCCGGTCTTCTGGCCCACTGTGTGCTGCGCGGAAACGGGTCGCTTATTCAAGCCCCGCTGTGCCCCACAGTGCTGCTCCATACACGCATCGAACGGACACAAAGATAAATAACTGGAACGCAACCATTTTATGAATCGGGACTCCACAGCGGCGGCGCAGCGGCGGGGATGTGAGCCCAATAAGCTTTCATCACCCCACACTGGAAAAAAGGTCGAGCGCTGCCAAAGCCTGGCGCAGAGCGAAAGGACTGATTCCGCGCAGCGCTTCGCGTCGCTCTGTCTCTCTCGCACCAAGCCGACGAGCGCCGCGAGTGCGAGAGGGACAAACCGCTCGGACTTTGATAGCGCCGACATCGAAATGGCCCGGCCTATCCCCACACTTACTTCTTATGGAACTTTTTCCGCGGATTGGCGCTCTGGCGTGAGTGGCGGGCTTCGGCTATAACACGCTAGCGTGGCTACACTGGCCACATGGGAGTTTAGGGGGAAAATGTGGCCGGCTTGCTGCACCCCGGTGGACCAGAAGACCGGCGCCGGCGGCCGAAACTGTAGACGCTTTTCGAGCTCTAGAGTCGCTAAATGGGACTCGAACCAAACGTGTGACCCCACCAATGGATTGCTCTCCGAGCGAGGAATCCATTGGTGGGGTCACACGTTCGGTTTGAGTCCCATTAAGCGACTCTGGAGCTCAAAACGCGTCCGGGATTTGGTCCACTGTGGGCCGATGGGGGTGCCCCTAGGCGGGCCATAGGCGGGCCATAGGCGGGCCATAGGCGGGCCATAGGCGGGCCATAGGCGGGCCATAGGCGGGCCATAGGCGGGCCATAGGCGGGCCATAGGCGGGCCATAGGCGGGCCATAGGCGGGCCATAGGCGGGCCATAGGCGGGCCATAGGCGGGCCATAGGCGGGCCATAGGCGGGCCATAGGCGGGCCATAGGCGGGCCATAGGCGGGCCATAGGCGGGCCATAGGCGGGCCATAGGCGGGCCATAGGCGGGCCA